GAAATCATATCGAAGCGGGAAATGGCTCCCCCACGACCTCACTGATGCCCACAAAGTCACACGAGTCACCTTGAGCTCTGTTCTTCTACGTAAAGCTAGCCATCGTGACTTTTGGAAGTATTTTTTGACATCTGATGAGACTTGGCTTTCGTATGAAAATATTCAACTCTATGGACAGTGGCTGAGTTCGAAGCAGACCTCTCATCCTATCCCGAAGCCTCCGAAAAAGTTATGCTTTGTGTGTGGTGGAATGCTAAGGGATTGGCTCATTTGGAAATATTAGATAAAGGAGACAGTGTTGACGAAAGACTTTATGCAGAACAAATGGGTTGAGTCGATCCAGCATTGAGGAAAAAGAGGATCGATCCATCGAAGGGCAGATTTCTTCACGACAATGCTAGGCCTCACATTTCAAAGATCGTCCACGAACAAATCGATAAGTTGAGCTGAAAACTTCTTCCACACCCACCATACAGCCCTGATCTAGCCCCATCGGATTACCATCTCTTTCAGTCTATGAAACAAGCAGTTTCTGGACAGCAGTTCAAACAAAAGCAGGACATCGAAAATTGGGTTGCCAACTATTTTGCCTCTAAAAATCTTCAATTTTACGAGGACGGTATTCGTGATTTGGGGCGATGTTGGAAAGAAGTTATTAATGCTTGTGGTGGATACATTTGATTTTGAAAGTGTTTAAATAAGTTTTCCTGTTATGTTACAAATGATCAAAAAAATAACCTTTCATATTTACCAAGCTAATAAAAACAAGATAACAATACATTAATTCACAAGGTATTCGCCATCTGCATCAATGACTTGTCGCCAACGTTCACGCAGAGAATGGATGCCCTTCTTGAAGAACTCGACCGGCTGCGACTCGAAGAAGTTGGACACCCAAATTTGGACCTCGTCGCGGTTCTTGAACTTTTTCTCAGCCAAGGAGTGGTGCATTGATCGGAACAGATGGTAGTCGGAAGGCGCCAGGTCTGGGCTGTATGGCGGATGAGGCAGGACTTCCCAGCCCATTTCTTCAATTTTCTGCTGGGTGATTTTTGCGACATGTGGCCGAGCGTTGTCGTGGAGGAATTTTGTCGACGCCGTATCCACACCTTGACGTCGCAGCGCCTGGTCCACGCAATCCAATTGGCCTTGTCTGAGTGTAGATTTGGATTCCCCGTGAAAATTCACCCTAGAAAATGTGGTTTTAATAATGATTTTCGGTTTTTACTTACCCTCTTCGTCGAAATTACTTACCCTCTTCGTCGAAACATCGTATTCTGACTAGTCTGACAGGTAGTCTGACTTTGACTGAGATTTTCTCTATGTTTTTATATTAAATTTTACTAAGGAAATTGTGGTTTTCTATAACAAAATTTCATAAGGAACATTTTAAGACCAACCACAAGTTGATCGGTCAACCGGAAGTTGAGATATGGAGGAAAAGAGAAGAGTCGTCAAACTCCGCCTAACAATAGTACAATTGTTAAGGAAAAAGAGAGTAAAAATGTAGAATCTGTTTTGTAGACTTACCGATGAAAACATAGAGAAAATTAGGGTCAAAGTCGAGATAAGTCTCTGACCCCCCTCAGAGAATCAGGGTTTGACGACTCTTCTCTTTTTCTCCACTTCTCAACTGCTAACTGACTTCTGGTTGATTTTAAAATGTTCCTTATGAAATTTCGTTATAGAAAACCACAATCTACTTAGTACACTTTAATAGAAAAATATCGAGAAATTTTCACGCAAAGTTGAACAACCTACCCGAAAGGAAATCCACAACTTACTTACTACACTTTAATATAAAAACATAGAGAAAATTTTGGTCAAAATTGAACTATTTACTTGGAAGAGTCGATCCAGTTAAATGGTCCATAACTCCAGGTCAGAAACCCAAACAACTCATCGTTTGTTTTATTAGAACCTACATAAAAATTTAGTAAAGAAATATAGAATCTGTTTTGTAAACTTACTGATAAAAACAGAGAAAATTAGGGTCAAAGTCGAGATAAGTGTCTACCCCTCCCTAGAGATTTGTCTAGGGGAGGGGTAGAGAGTCGGAGTTTGACGACTCTCCTCTTTCCCGCCATCAGAAAGAGAATAAATGGATAACCAAATTATGCAAAACGCGTAGGATCAAAAAAAGGAAAATCGCCGGATCACTGGATCACACCACAAAAACATGTACAAATTTTAAACACCTACCCTTCTTTAGCATCTCACAGCAGGACAGATGTGAACGTTAGAAGGAGACGGGAAAATGTGACGTCTATTAGCTGACGACGATTTGCCTCGAGCATTTTCTCGTCTTAACCCCCACAATCATTAAAATACACAGTCTCGAATATTCGATCCATTCGATATTTGATCTATTCGATTATTCGATTCGATAGTCTAGCATCGCAATGATGACCTTCAGAAATTTGCGTTCCTTCCCGGCTCTTCTCGAATCGCAGGTTATAGGGAAATTGGCCGTGTTCGAGGCCTTTCAACTGCTAAGAGTTAATCATCGTCTTCGCTCATTTGTCCTGTTTCATGGACCTTATCTTTCGAATCTTCAAAGTGTAGACGTTACGCTTCACCACGCGAAATTCGAAAACGGTGAGATTATAGCCTTGGGCATAACCATTCATATCCTGCATCACTCTAACTATTGGCTTTTTCATTCGAGCAACGTGAAGAATGACGTGAAGCATCTTCAGGTTGGTGCAAGTGCCACTGTTCAAGTGAATACTTCGCAGGGGAGACTCTTTCAAAAGTTAATCCATTTCGCTGATTTGAAAATATTCTGCTTTCAAAGAACTGTCCTTTCAGAAAACAAAACAGAATTTGATGCTTCTAAATTTCTCCCCTCCACTCTAAGGAATCCATTAAGAGGGTTTTCAATTGGTTTTCCTAGTGATTTGAGCGTGACTCGATCACTTCTTTCAAGATATGGTTTTATACAAGTGACGAAGCGTTTCCAAATTAACTGGAGCTCCTTGCTTTTTCTTTCTGATGACCTTGATCGGGAACTTGCGGTTTTCATGAAAAACCATTGGTCACTATGTGAAGATCTCGACCTAATACGTCTTCCTTCTCAGCTTTTCAACGAGAATCTTTCGTTAATGCAAGAAAATGTGAAACTCCAAGCTGTCCTCAGAAGTTGGGATAACTTCACGAGTTGTGTCGAGTTTTTCGCGTCACGGAATTGTTTTAATGCGTCGTATTGCAGTGTTGGGCATTATGGAAATCTAGTGAGGAAAGAAGATCCTAGATACAAAAAACTACTAGACATTTTCGATCGTGCGCACATGCCTCTTGTTGAGGCAGAGTTTATCGACCAGTCCACGGAGCAGCTCTTTTTTCACCGACCGCCACTGGCCTACCGATTTCAAATTAAATTGTGCTTCAATTACTCTCAAATGCATATTTTGCAATGTCAATCTTCTTGATAAATTAAAAATTACGATGTTTGTGTTTTCTCGCTTTTAATTATTGTAATTCTAGAATACGTATTTCATTCGTTACCTAATAAAAATCTATCTTTCAGGAAAGCATGTCATGTTATGCACAAATATGTTTAAGTTTAATAAGTAACCCCCAACCGAATTCCAGAAACAAGTGAGGAAAGGAGATCCGAGATACAAAAAGCAAATTATGAGGATTTGAGGTCCGGGATCCATCGGTGGATCCCGTCGTCCCAGATGGCAGTCACCCTGGGACCCACCGGTGAGTCCCATCGTCGTGAATGTGTTAAAACAGTCTTTATCAAAGAAAGCTCTTGAAAAGATGTGTTTTCTACCTTTTCTTCTTTTTGCTTTGGCATTATTGTTAATTGTTAGTGAATGGATGTCAGATTAGGTGCGATCAGTAAGTCTGGAAAGTTTTGCTGGAAAGTCCGGAAAGAAATCTTGTTATTTCTTAGTTATCTTTGAGAAATGTAGTTATTTTTAACGATTAGAAGCTTTATTTAAAGCCATAATGCAATTCAAGGATGGAGATGGAAGTGTAGATTGGAATATTGATGTACGCTTTCCAAGGACAAACTATGGTTGGTCCGGAAAATTTGCTATGATTGGATGATTTAAGCGACCGGTTTAAAGGATCATCCAAAATTATGGCAACAAATTTTAGAAAACTATCCTTTTCCAAAAAACTTTCTACAAAAAGTAGCATGTATTATATACTATTTGAATTGAGAGCTCCTTTTGCAAATAAAACGAAACTGATCGGTAGGAGACCAGACCGTCCATTTCCCATCGAGGCTCCAAAGCTGAAATATGTTTATTTCTGATGGAAATCCTTCCATTAAGCATTTATAACTTTAGAAAAAAGAGTTTCCTCAGATTGCTTCAAATATTTTTGGATTAATTATGCATTCGAAATTGGAATAAATATTCATGTTTTCCCCATGAAAATCTCACCAAAGCGTGGCTTTTCGAATCCGGCCATCCAACCTTCAAATTCGTGAAATCCACCGAACTTCCATCCGTCCATTCAAAAGCATTTTCTTTGTTCGGATTGCTCTGAATAAAAAAATTTCTATGTTTAGACATTGATATTCCGATCCGATTTCCCTTTCTTATTATTGAAATTATTCTAGTTTCCCAATCGAAACCATTATTTCTATCAAAGAACTATCAGTCAAACGAATCTTTTTTTACAAAGTGCGTTCCAAAGTGGCTGAAAAAAATGAAAGAATTAAGTTTAATATATTCATTTATGTCTTTCCATAAAAAAAATTCAACCTTCAGTCCGATCCAGAACAAAGACTCCGAACCAACATTTTTCGCTGAAATAAATATCGATTGTTTTTGGTTTATAAAGCATAAATTTCTAAGGAAATCATGAATTTTCAGAATTGAATCATTTTGATTTCTTACGGAGTTTCCAAACAAAATCGTTCTCTTCCTGACTGTGAATTGAGACTAAATGGCTTTTTCTGCCCCCACAATATGCCTCGGCTTCATCGAATGTCATTCTTTGATCGATAAACTTGAGATGAAGATAATCCTGGTTCACAACATCCACCAAACCTTGTACCAAGAAGCGGTTTCTTCCAAATACAACCAGCCATCCAGATCCAAGACCCAAATCATCATTCGATCTCTGAATTTCTTCTGAAAATCTTTACTCCGCACTTTTTTGGAACAAATACTACTTCCTTTTCCATAAAAAAACTCACAAATCTGCCTGCAACTTCGCGATTTCGGCCGTTTTGTTTTCCCTTTCAGATTGTCTAAAGAGGAATTGATTGGATTGAGTGGAATGGGTGTTTGGGAAATGAAAAAACTGTTTTCTTAAGTCTAAGTCGACAAGAGATGCCAAATGAACTCACATTTGAGCCCTCAATTCGGTTATTTTCGTTGCTCTAAAAGGAGTTCTGTTAGTTAACAATCTGTGATAACTAAGAATAACCAGAGAGAGAAGAAGACTCACAACTCGGCCTTTAGCTCCATGCTTTCGGACCTCAATTTCCTCTCGACCTCGGCATTTTCTTTCCTCGTTTCGTTCAACTCCTTCTCGCTGAACAACTCTAGCCAGTCAAATTCTAACAGTTTTCAACGTACAAATCGGCTTTCAACGCGGAAAAGGTCCTTGACATTTCGGCGACTTTGGAATCTCTAGATGTGTCTCAGTCTCAGATATTTCTTTAAGGGATCTCAAGACTCACATCCCGGCTTTCAAAGCAGCACCAATCTTCGTCGGTCGTTCGCAGAGTCCACTGATTTTTCCTCGAGCCTCGACGAGTTCTTGTCGGGTTCCATTCCTGAAAAGTCTTGTCATTGGGACACGCAAACCTATTCCTTGTTCATTGTCTCGAAAAAAAACCCACAAATTTCTTTGACAAGACCTCAAATTGATGGGATAGACAAATTGATGTGTATAACTTGACGACGAACCCTCATCACTACTGCTGAGATCTAAGATCATCGAAAATCCCTTTCTGACCAACTTTGACGAAGAAATTCGATGGAAAAGAAGGAAAATCGTGATGAATAGACCGACGGCCATCACACCCATTCCGATTGATTGGTGAATTCGAAATTCAAGGTTTTGAATTTAAGGAAATGGGAAGAATGAATGGAGCGACGATGCCAAAGTGCCAAAGTGAAAGTTTTGACTTTCACTGGGGGAGTTTCCTGGGAGTTTCCTGCCCCAAAGGGCAGGAATAACTGTTTTGACGAGCCGGAATAGATGTTTGAGAATGGAATTTTGAGCATTTCAAAGTCGCTTTCTGAGGTCATTACAAACAGACAGACAGTTATTTTTAGTTTCACAATACTACTAGTTTTTGTGGAGGCTTTATAATTGCTTGCTTTTGGTGTGAAAAGGAGGATAAGAATCTAATAAATCGAATCTATCACCTTACACCTTTCGATTTTGCGATGTCACCAAGTTAAAGGCTTCGAAAAGAAGGGGTTCTCCGTTGTAAATGACGCTCTTTCCACTAAAAAACGATTTTCCAAAAAATCTGTCAGGAGAATTTGGAAAATTTTTCCTGTTTTGAAATGAGTACATTTTTCTGTGTAGAATGACACATCTTTCATCAAAATTCATCAAAAAACGCAAATTGCACCGATGTGTGTGAGACCTGAACCACTGTTTTGACGGCCCGAAGGGCTGGAATGAAAATTTTTGAAGGCCAGAAGGGCCTGAGTGTAACCGTGGACTTTTCTGAACTGTCTGAAAGGCCTAATGAGAGATTTGTACGGTCCAAAGGGCCGAACTATGTCTATTTTCCAACCAATCAGCGCAAATACTTTCACGGGTCCCCCAATTAGACAGCGGGCAAAGCGAACGATCGTGAGCGAACAAAACCGGACGTGGAGCTAGCGAGATCACGACAAGAGTCTCCGAATTGGAGACCAGGTTGGAAGCCGATTTGTGAGTGTTTGGAATGGCGTTAATTGGATGGAATCACCAGAGACGATAGAGACTAGGGTTCCAAAAATCCCCAATTTTCCATAAATGAAATGAAGGACTTGCGTCGAAGGTGGGAAGAAGTCAAAATGGAGAATACTTTATTGATTGATAGTTGCTATTTCTTGTAGAATGCAATCTATTGTTACACGCAAAAAACGCGCATTATTTTTCCCTGATCTAATAGTTAATAAAAGACTTCTCCTTAGGTTTTGAATAGTTTCTAGATTTGCATGGAAACTTGCCTCATGCTAAGGAATAGAAATATCATGGAAATTTTCAGGAAACGAATCACCCGAGTTTTTGTAGTTTTTGTGGTAAGGTTTTTGACAGAGAAAGTCCAACATCTCACATGTTTAGGCAAAAAAGCCTTGAGACACTTTTAGAAATTGACTCTGTCTAGCCAGTCCATAACTTCGAAAAGAAGAGTCCACCAATTTAATTTGGACTAATAAGGACTCCTTTGATGGAAAAGAGATCTTTGTTAAACTGAAACTCGAACAGCATCTCTCTCGCCGGACCTCTTCATTCGCTACTCGTGCCTCAAAGAGATTTTGGATTTGGACAAAGAAATTCCCTTAGCTACACGCAACTCTTCGCAAACGTGGCCGAGAACATCACGAGGCAAATGAATGGGAAATTTCGAATGAAATCCATTTTGATTGTATTCCATTATCCATATCTAATATTCAGGAGCAGCCAGACAGCAAAATACTTGCAGCTGCAGGCGCAATTCTGGATTTCTGGAAAAACTTTTTATATGAGATTTTGCAGAAACAATTCAGAAATAAAGGAGAAGATAATGTGCAGTTCTGTGTTTTCAGAAGATTGGATAACATGGGATTTATTAATTTTTGGTCCACAGAAAAAGACACAAAGCATTTATCAGAATTGAGAGCTCCTTTTGCAGATCAAAAGAATCTGCTGGGTAGGAGGATAGACTCCCCATTTCCCATTGTAGCTCAGAAGCTGAAATGTGTTCATTTCTGATGGAGATCCTTTGATAAAACACTTTGTGTTCTTTCACAAAAAGAAATTTCCTCAGATTGATCAATTTTAATTATGCATTGGAAATTGGAATACATATTGATGATTTCACGTTGAAAATCTCACCCAAGTGTGGGTGTTCAAATCCGGCTCTTCTCCATACCAATTCGTGAAATCCACCGAACTTCCATCCGTCCATTCCAAAGCATTTCCTTTGTTCGGATTTCTCTGAATAAAGAAATGTTTATGTTTGGACATTGATATATTTCGATCCGATCTTCCTTATTTCTTCTTGAAATTATTCTAGTTACCCAATTGAAGCCATTATTTCAATCAAAGAACTACTAGCCAAACGAATCATTTTTTCACAAAAAGCCTTCGGGAAATGGCTGAAATAATCATTAGTTTCTATATATTTATTTATGTCTTTTAATGAGAAAAACTCAACCTTCAGTCCGATCCAGAACCCATGAAAGGCTTGAACAGTTTTCGCTGAAATAAATATCGGTTGTTCTTGGTTTATAAAACATAAATTTCTACGAAAATCATGAATTTTCAGAATTGAATCATTTCGATTTCTTACCGAGTTCCCAAACAAAATCGTTCTCTTCATGACTGTGAATTGAGACTAAATGGCTCTTTCGACTCGCACAATATGCCACGGCTTGATCAAATGTCATTCTTTGATCGAAAGCCTTGAGATGAAGATAATCCTGGTTCACAACATCCACCAAACCTTGTACCAAGAAGAGCTTTTTGCCAAATACGACCATCCATTCAGATCCAAGATCAAAGTCATCGTTCGACTTCTGAATTTCTTGGAAAAACATTACTCCAGATTCTTTAGACAAATACTCAATCTATTTCCTGAAAAAAACGCATAAATCTGCCCGCAGCCTCTTGATTTCGGACATTTTGTTTTCTCTTTTATATTGTGAGGAGGGGGAGTTGATTGGATTGAGTGGAATGGGTGTTTAGGAAATGAAAAAACTGTTTTCTCAAGTCTCAGTCGACAAGAGATACCAAATAAACTCACATTTGGGTTTCGAGGTCAGAGTTCTCGCTCTGCAACGCGTTGATTTTCCCTTCGAGCTCTCCAATCTTGGCTTTTCCGTCTCTTGCTTCCCTATTCTGAGTTCTTCTGAAAATAGTTCAGATAACTATATATTGGGCTTGTCAAAATCACTACTCAAAATCCAAAAAAAGATGAGCTTGAATTCTTCAAGATTTTTGATTTCACCCACATTTCCCTCTCGAGTCCACTGATTTTTCCTCGAGCCTCGACGAGTTCTTGTCGGGTTCCATTCCTGAAAAGTCTTGTCATTGTCCATTTCTTGTTTATTCTATCAATTTCGCTTTTCTCCCAAAAAACTCACAATTTGCTTTGACAAGATCTCAAGCAGACGGTATCCGGACAATCCTCTTTACTGCTGAAATCTAAGATCATCCACAAACCCCTTTCTAACCAACTTCAAAGTACTACGATCACCAGACGGAATCTCATCTCGATCATTCGAAGATCTGAATGGTTGAAAACATGGCTATTTGAAGGGAAAGCAATACGTGAATAGATCCACTTGAACGCTTTCTTGAATGGACGAAGAAATTTGATGGAAAAGGAGGAGAATCGTGATGAATAGACCGACGGCCATCACACCCATTCTGCTGAATTGGTTGATTAGTTTTGAATACGGGGAAATGGGAAGAACGAATGGAGGGACGATCCGATACACAATTGTTTTTTACGGAAAAGAGCTTTCGAGGGCTCTGAAATTGTTCAGGAAAGCGATTGACTCATTAAGCCGTTGAAAGAATCGCTTCGAATAGAACTTCGTGCAAAAAAAAGTAGCATTTCGGGAAAAAGAAAGCCGTCAGTTCGTGTGGAGTTGGTGAGTGAGAAAACGCGGAGTTATCAGGAGACTACTTTCGGGGAAAGTCAACTGAACCGACCGTTCCCATCAAATCGCCACAATTGTTCCTCAAAGCTATCTATCTCCCCCGGCGTAAACAGTTTTTCCTAGAGCCTTTTTGACTTCTCCAACTTCAAAATTCAAAGCTCCTCGAGGTGTCATCATTGTTGATTGTTGTTTTGGTTGTTCTATGTTTTTTAAGTTGTTTTGTGTTAAAGCAGAGCATTGTTGTAAAAAGCATAACTAAACAAAACCTCTCTAAAACGGAAACTGCTCAAGGCATTAAAGGCATTTCTGGAGATTTGGAAAAAGAAGAGATGCTCTGAAGACATCGAGGAGGAGGCTTCGAGAGATTGTCCATTTTGGTTGCTAGACGAACGAACTGTCCTACAAAATGACTGAACTTTCCTGCAGAACAAGTGAAAATTAAAGGAAAAGGCTACTAAATAAGCAGAATTGATGAGATAATCAAACAAGAAATTCGTTGCCAAGCAAAATAGGGCAAAATTCTTACCAAATAAAGAGAAAGGAGGGGAATGGGCACTCCTTTAGTCATCAGTCGTCAACCAAAAACAATCAATCTTCGTTTCAGCGAAAACTGAAAACGAAAACTGCTACAAAACAACAATGATTTGGGGCCAGAAATAGAATGAGGACACTTGGATTTCCTCCATAATTTATCAATATTTAGACTACCAGGATCAGAGAGCTTTTGTTAGTGGCTATTCCCCACAGTAATGCCTTTTTCATCGGAAAGAGGAAAACCGACGAAGAAATGATTGCATCCAACCGTTGCTTCTTTTGGAATTGAGACCAGCCTCAGAAACGGTTCATCGCTTCGGTATAGATAGCCACATTCGACAGCCAAATACCCTAATGGATCTGAAATCTGAAATGTGTCTTTCAAATTTGAGGGAGATCTTCTGATAAGACTTTTCGAGTTTCTGGTAATCACGACTCATCACC